GCGTTTGGTAAGGCTCTTGGTCTTACATTCTGAAGGCACCGCTGGGATTCCTGGGTGTGCTTCACTAGTCAGCTCCTCGGAGCGTTTGGTAAGGCCCTCGGTCTTACAAGACTATACTGTCAGGTGGATTTTAACATCTCCTCAATGTCCATCTCTAAATTTGGTGGCCAGAGCTATAAATGGTGAGCTATTAATGCCTCCCAGTATGACCTTAGTTTAGTTATAGTTAACAGTCTACCAAATATTCTACATTTATTAAACAAAAACTATGTCAGTTTGCAAAATTCTGGATATTGAAAAGCAAAAGAACACAGCGTCTACCTTCTAGTGACAAATGGAGCAATGTGTCAGATGCTGTTATAGTAATATATATACATGAAACAAAAGGATCTCATGAGAGAAGGGTATAACCTTTATCCATAAAGTCTGCAAATACTTTAACACGAATATGTGTCAAGGGAAATACTAAGAGAGGCATTCCAGGTAGTTGGAAAGCATATGCAAAATCACAAAGAAAAGTAAGGCTTAGGCTATTTAGAGAGCTAATGGTTACAGAGGATAGAATCTGGATATACAGAGAGAAGGTTAAAAGAAATGAGAGGTAAACAGAACTCAATCCTGAAAGGTCTTGTGTGCTTCTCAATCTGGACGTTATTGTGAAAAGAGTAATGAGCCACAAGAAAATGTAAAGTAGACATATTTTAGAAATATATTCTTTTACCAAGAAATTGGTAGTTATGGAGACTTTGAGAAGAGGAATTAGGTGATGAAGAAGAGTCAAGCCCAGGCTTCAGATGTAGCTCAATGGTAGAGTAAGTGCAAGGCCCTGAGACTGACTCCAGTAGCATGGGGGCAAAAAAAGTCACGTGCAAGTGGCAGACTTTTCCCTGAATACTCCTTTGTAACTTCTTTGGCTGTAAACTTTATGCATGTATTATAGAGTCAAAAAAAAAAAACAAAACTTTTAAGCAAGGCAGAGAGTGCATGCCTATATCCCAGGCCTGTAATCTTAGGTACTCTGGGAGGCCGAGGCAGAAGAATTCTAAGTTTTAGCTCAGTCCAGGAAATTTAGAGACTTAGAACCTAACTGAAAATAAAAAAAAGAAAAATAGGTGTAGCTTAGTTCAAAGGCCCTGAGTTCAAACTCAGTACTCCCTCAAAATTAACTTTTAAAAAAATATTTAGAACTATGACTTTATTATGGAGGATAAATTGGAAAGTGAATACCAAGCCCAAAGTGCTATAACAGACTTGCAGTCACAAGTAAAGAAATCATGAGGCAACTGAAGAAATCATAAAGCAGGCATAATGTATGAAGAGAAAAAGTTCAAGACTTTTATAGAAGATGGAATTAGCAAGGTACAAAGATTGTTGTAAAAAGAATCTCAGTTACCCTATGGGATTTTGAAAGAATGGGAATTCAACTGAAATAATGAATTCCACTGTAACATAAATGTACTTGAGACATTCGGGTAAAGATACCTATGATGATACTGGTAAGACAAGTCCATATCTACAAAGAAAAGTTGATCTAGAGATACAGATTATGTGTCACCTCTGAACACAGCAGATGGACTGGGCAATAAATATGGATGAGGTCTCCTCAGTTTGTAGTGTTAAGAGACCCAAGGACAGAGCACTTACTTTTAAAACATGGATAATTAAGAGAATTCTGAAACAATGCAAACCTTACTGAAGAAACAAGACTGCAGTTGATATTAGAAGCTTCCTAAGAAGTTACAGTGATTAAAATTAGTTTGTGGATAAACTCCCTCCCATCCCATTTGGCAGAGGTAGGTAATTTCTAATTCTGGTCTGAAATTTTTTTAGGCTAAAATGCTTGCAACTGCCTCATAATGATGAATTTTAAGTTTCAATTGCTCTTATAGAACTGGGTCCAGTGAGGTGATTACAGGAATCTACATATCTTAAAACCTGTAGAACTAAAACGGGGAGGATCAGTTTTACTGTACGTTAATTTATAAAACAAAAATTTTGAAATTGTTCTTCCAAATAATAGAACAATGCTAACTAAGCAAATGATTCTCTAGAAAGATAAATAAGATCCTTGTAACTTAACTGGCTTCCTTTGGGAAATGACAATATAAATCAAGAATGGCCCAAAGATGACCTTTTATTTTTTTTTAATTTTTACTCATTTTTTCCATTAATTTTATTGGTACATTTTAGGTATACAATATGCTGACATTCATTATTGGGAGTTTGTACCTTTACATAACTTATCTTGGTTCTTATTTTTTTCCCCATTCC